TGAGGAGGTCTCCCCTGAGCCTCCTCCAGGCTGAACACCCCCAGCTCCCTCAGCCTCTCCTTACAGGCCCTGTGCTTCAGTCCCTTCCCCAGCACAGCAGCCCCTCTAACCCCGTGCAGAGCAGGGGGTGGTGTGACCTTGCTCCTCTGGGTCATCCCTGTGACCTCAGGGGTGACCAGCAGCAGCTCCTGCTGCTTTCTGCCTCTGGGGCCCTTCTCCCCTCCCCAGGGTGTGGAGCTTGAAGGTGGGACTGGTTCAGTGGCTGCTGCTCCACCTGCCAGACGTGCAAACAAAGCCGGCCCCACGCGCCGCTGCCCAAGCGTGGAGGGGCTGAGCCCCCCCGAGCTGCTGCAGCCCTGGGCTGGGGGGAACAGCAGCTCTGGCTCTGGCTCTGCTCTGGTTGGGGTTGCACAGCAGCTCAGGGCCTGCAGGGCCACCCTCAGGGGGGATGGGAAGCTCATGAAACCCCCTTGAGCTTTGCCAGATGCCTCTGGAGCTCAGAGGAAGGTTGGATGATGCTTTCAGGCACGTGGTGGGATTGTTGGGGTTGTCCTGTGCGGGGCCAGGAGTTGATCTCTTCTAAATTGGGAGGTTCTGTGACCAGTCCTCCCAACATCATCTTCCTCAGAGCAGAGGAGGTGCCTCAGGAAAGCAGCTCTTGCTCAGAGTTGCCCACCTGACTCTTGTCCTAACTATAATCACGGCCAAAAGCAAGTTGCTCCCCAAGGAAGGTGCTTTCTGGGTCCTTCCCTGCTTCTTTTCGCACCTGTTTTTTGGAGACGCCTCCACCTGAGCTCCACCACTGCCCTCCCAGCACTTCCCAGTGTGTGACTCCTGCCCAATCCTGGCAGGAGCTGCAGAGGAGGCGGCTGGGCCTGAGCTGACGAGTGATGGGGACCAGCTTTGCTGTGCCCCAACACTTTGGGGGAATTGGGGACCACGGTGCCATGGAGGGGGGCTGGGGCAGGGTGAGTGAGGTGACACTCACGTGAGAGAGGTGAAGGCTGTTTTGGAGACGTTGCCACGAGCACTTGTTTTGTTGGGTTGGAACCACAAACCGCAGAGCCCCAGCAGAGGTGCAGTGCTGAGGGGGGGTTTCAGGTGGGGTTTTTTTTCTCTTCTTTTCTTGTTTGAAAGAAGGAAACCAAAACAGAGGCCGTTGAGAGGGGTGGTGTGTGAAACCGTCTCGAGAGAGTGGGGATGACTCGTTTGGGGCTGTGCCCTCCCCGGTTTGGCACCATCCGCCCCAGCCGGGTGGTGCCACCAGCACTGCACCAGTTTAATTTCCCAGTGCTTGGGAATGGGGTGGGGGAACCTCCAAACCTGAGCAAGGAATGGTGTGGCCCCACACTCTTAGCCCTTGGGACACCCCTGGGTGCCCTCAGGGGGCTGGTGCTGCGGGAGCTCCGGCTGTTCCCGCTGGAGGAGCCGCCTGTGCTCCGGCTCCAGAGGAATATTTTCCCCCTGACGCCGGAGAATTCCTGTGGTGTGACACTCCCTGCTCAAGGACCCTGTTCAGTGCCACCAGGGCCAGACAGGGCCCCCATTGTGGCCCCTCTGGTGGGTGCTATTCTGAGCAGCCCCGGGGGTGCTGGAGGTCACCCCCCACCCTCTGATCCTCCCTTGTCCTTTGTGCAGCAGGGGCTGCCCCCATTCCCCAGCCAGGGCTGGGGCTGCTCTGGGAATCTCCTGGAAGTGCATGGGGCATAAAAGTTGCTTTGTGTCCCTCTACTCCATGCTTGGAGCTGCATCCAAACCCAGGCTGCAGGAACACCCCAGTGGGGGTGGTTTTGGAGATAACCAATGGGTCCTGGGGTGGGTTACACCCACTGAGCTGTGCCAGCCTGGAACAGTCTGTGTCTGCTTGTGGCATGGAGTGATCCCAACCAGGCATCCCAAGGGGGATTTCCAGCCCTGGATGGGGATGAGAGGAAGGGGTGAAGCAGAAGGGATGGAAAATGGGCACTGCTCCCAGCTCCTGGGGTGCACACAAAGCCTGGCAGCTTTGGAGATGTGACATCCAGGAGTGGCATCGCTGCACGAGCCAAGGGTTAGCTTGAAATCCTGTGGGAGAAGAGGAGATTTCCAAGGATCTCCCAGCTCCTTGCTAGTCTGCAGAGTAGGTGAAAGGAGCCCATTTCTGCAGATCTCCCTCCCAGCACTAACTGCAGCTGCACCAGATGGTGTCTGGACTTCCAGAACTCTTTCCCTGTTCCATTCACCTTCCTGCCCTCCTGGTTTTGGGCACACAGGCTCAGGCATGTGCCAGGGTTTGGCTCCTGCCACCTCGTGCCCAGCTGACATCTCAAGGTGCCCTGGCTGGCACATCTGCAGGGCCCCTCTGCCCTCCCCTGGGGCAGGGAGGGTGTGTGTTTACAGGAGCTGGGACATGCCTGGAGCCCTGCAGTAAACACATTCTTCACATAATTGCTTGTCCAACGCAGAGGAATTTGGGGTTTTACGTGTCCCACAGGCAGCTCGGAATAGACCTTGGGAATCCCTGTTCCAAGGATGACACTGCTTCCTTTGGAAATCCCACAGTACCCAGCAGAGGGTGGCAGGAGCCCTGCTTTGCTTGCTGGAGAGAGGGCAAGAATTCCTGGGTTTCCCCCGGGGAAAGATCTCCCTGCCAACTGGAAGCCAAGCAGGAACTGCCCTGGCCACTTGGCTCGGGGGCAGTGCCACTGGAGCCTCCAAAGGCTCCTGCAGAGCCAGGATGGCCCAGGGGAGTTTTGGGGGCACTTCCTTACCCCAGAACCTGGTCTCTGGGGGGTGGGCTTCCATCCAGCTTACTTTGGGGAGGGAATCAACAAAAAATCCTTGTCCTTTGGTTGGGCAGGAGAGAGACAGATCTGAGGGGATGGACCCGGTCTCACTTCAGCCTTGGTTCCTTGGCCACGTCTCTGTTACCCTGATTTGGGGCTTGGAGGCTCCCTGGCTCTGTGCAGGGAACTGATATAAATTCATATGGCCAAGACAAACCATCCCCTTGGGAATTCACCTGATGTTTCCCATGGAACACCTCAGGTGGCCAGAAAAACCTTTTTCCCCATGTTTTCGCTGTGTTTATTTCTCTGCTGTAAATAGGCCCAAGCTTTGAGATGTGGTGCCATTTCAGGCCAGGCTTTTGGATCTTCCCTTTGGGATGAGAGGCAAAGGCATCATTTGAATTTCCTCCCTCATTTTGGCTGGGATAACCCAACTCCATCCCTACTGGAGTCACTGTCTTGGCCAGCTCCTGCCGGGAGCGACTGGCTGGAGCCTTTCCCGCCGAGTCTCTTCCCATTTCCAGGCAGAAATGACACTGGGAGCTCCCTGCTTTGTCCTGCCCGTGACTCTGATAACCCCCAGGGCTTGGCAGGGAACCCAGTGCCTCCAAAACCCAGGAGTAGTTCCCCAGGGATGACAGGAGGGAAGCAATTTGGGAAGGGCTGGATGGGACCCACAATTCCCCTGTCCTGGAGCCAGCTCCCTCATTTCCTCCTCCCAGCAGCTTGACTGCTTTTGAGTCATTCCAAACTCTTCCCTCCTTGGGTTATCCCACAGCCACAGCTCTGACAGCTCCCATTGTCATTCCTGGAAACAGGCTGGGCTCCCTCCCTTTTTCTGAGCCCATGGCTCGTTTATTCCCCGCTCGAAGCTCCTGCTCGTCGCTGTCAGCACTGGGTTCATCCCAGCCTAATCCAGCCTGTGCAATTCCTTCTGGGATAAATCATTTCATCCATCGGCTGGCTCTGTTATTGTTATTAGTAGGGATATGTCCTAGACTGGGTTTCAAACCTGGCAGGATCTCTCCCAAAACACGTTGCCCAGGGCTAAGTGCAATATTTTGGGCGTGGCCGCATTTGGAAGTTGCTCATCAAAGAGATTTTGGCTCCAGGGCTTCTCCTCTACCTTGGGTTGGGACACGAGCCCAAGGAGGAGATAAATGTTGTGAAACTTCTCCATGAATCCAACCAAGACCAGGCTGGGGAGCACTGGGGGGCTCTGGGACCCTGAGGCAAATTCTCTTGGCCAAAATTAGCAATCAGAGGAAAAATGGAAACCGTGGTGTCGTCAGGAGAGGTGGAATGTCCGTGGCATGAGATGCTGTCCATCATAATCCGGCTGGATTAGGGGAACCAGCAACCACAGGGAGGTTTCCTATGATTTCCTAAGATTTGCCATGGGGAAATCCACCCACAGGCCCAAGGAAGAGATAAGTATTGTGAAACCTTTCCCTGAATCCAGCCAAGACCAGGCTGGGGAGCACTGGGGGGCACTGGAGGGCACTGGGACCCCAAAGCAAATTCCTGTTGGTCAAAATTAGCGATGATTTTGGAAACGTGGAGACCACAGTGTTGTCAGGAGAGGTGGAACGTCCACGGCACAGGATGCTGTCCATCCCCTCCTGCCTCTGCAGCTGGATCAGGGGAAGCAGCAGCCCCAGGGAGGTTTCCCCTGGATTTGCTGAGCTCTGCCCTGGGGAGCTCCAGCAGTGCTGAGCTGGGTTGCTCTGTGTGTGCCGTCCCCCCTCGGAGCCGGCCTCGCCCATTCCTGCAGCAACACGCCCTGGGAAGAGGCCAAATAATTGTCATACCTGGGTCCCCCCTTATCTCGGGAAGGTCGGGAAGCAGGAGTGTGCTGGAGTTCACCTCATGGCCAGCAGCTCTTTGGCATGGAGAGCACTGGGTGCTCCTGTGCCAAGACAATGACTCCTCGCTCTTCCCCTGCCAGAAAAATAATCCTATTTATGTAACTCGAAGTGAAGCATTCCAGGGCATGAATATTCAGCTCTTCCTGCAAATAGGAAGCTCTGTTACCTGCAGGATTGAACTCCCCAGCTGTCAGCTCAGCCCACATCTTGCCCTGTGGCTGCTGATGCTGGTTTTGACAGCAGGAGGTTTTCTTTTCTTCCAGTGAACACCATTTGCATGGGATTTTTTTCCCCCATCCGGGATAGGAGGGGCTGTGCTTTTCCTGGTATTAATGTCCCATTAATGTCTCCTTTGTCTTTGCAGGCAGTGGACCCATCCAACTGTGGCAATTCCTGCTGGAACTGCTCACTGACAAGTCCTGTCAGTCCTTCATCAGCTGGACGGGCGATGGCTGGGAATTCAAACTCTCCGACCCAGACGAGGTAGAGTTCCCTGGAATGAAGTGCACAACCCAAATTCCTCAGAGATATTGGTGTGGATAACCCATTGCTCCTTTCTTTGGGGCTGAGATTTGTGCAATCATGTTCTTCTGGCTTTGGGTATGTGGGGAAACCAACTGAAACCTGGTTAAAAATGGGGCAGCAGTGACACCTTGGGAGCAGTGATTTGTGCCCAGAGTTGGTGGGAAGGAGCTGAAACACCCCAGGGAGAGGAGCAGTGGCAAAGCTCTTCAGATAGGCTGTGGACAGGTGAGAGAGGGGGACTGTCCACTGGTTTTGGGGAACAGATTTGTTGCCTTCCCTGGCTGAGGTTGGAGCCAGGTGGAGGTCGGTCTCTTCTCCCAAGTACAAGAGACTGGACAAGAGGAAATGGCCTCAAGTTGCACCAGGGCAGGTTTAGGTTGGATATTGGGAAAATTTCTTCACATTTCTTCACAGAAAGGGTTGTCCAACCCTGGCACAGCTGCCCAGGGCAGTGGTGGAGTCCCCAGCCCTGGAGGGATTTAGAAGCCATGTGCATGTGGCACCTGGGACATGAGTTAGACATGGGATTGGCTGTGCTGGGAGAATGATTGGACTTGATCTTAGAGGGCTTTTCCAACTTAAATGATTCTGTGTATCCTCATGGAATCCCAGAATATGCTGAGTCAGGAGGGACCCACAAGGACCATCCAGTCCAACCCTCAGCCCTGCACAGGCCCAGCCCCAAGAGTCACCCCCTGTGCCCCAAAGGATCATCCAAACCCTCCTGGAGCTCTGGCAGTGCCCAACCAGCCTCTGGGGGAAGAACATTTGCCTGAGATCCAACCTGAGCCTGCCCTGACACAGCTCCAGCCATTCCCTGGGTGCTGTCCCTGGTCCCCCCAGAGCAGAGCTCAGTCCCTGCCCCTCCTGTGCCCCTGCCCAGCAGCTGGAACTGCAGTGAGGTCTCCCCTCAGTCTCCTCCTCTCCAGACTGAACCCTCTGCAGTGCTCTGGGTTGGTTGTTCCAAGCACTGATGCTCGTGGCCCACCCGTGTCCATCTCAACGCCGACTTAAACAACGACAAAGAAAATCCTCTCCCTCCCCTCGTACCCAGCTGAGAACTCAACCAAGCCATGCTGACCTCTCCTCCCTTTCACCCCCTCTGCCAGGTGGCCAGGAGATGGGGCAAGAGGAAAAACAAGCCCAAGATGAACTACGAGAAGCTGAGCCGGGGGCTGCGTTATTACTACGACAAGAACATCATCCACAAGACGGCGGGGAAGCGCTACGTGTACCGCTTCGTGTGCGACCTGCAGAGCCTGCTGGGCTACACCCCCGAGGAGCTGCACGCCATGCTGGACGTCAAACCCGATGCTGACGAGTGAAGAGGACCCAGGGCCACCCCCTGTCCTCCTGGAGAGCCTTTGGGACTGTGTTGGTGCATTTTTTCCCCGCATTTTTTGCTGTTCCTTTTGCCGTTCGTTACGTTGTGTTTTTTTCGGGAGCGACTCGGATTTGATGCTTTGAGGGGGTCAGGTGGAGGAAGAGGCAAACTTTTGGCCAAAGTTTGGTTCAGAGTTAGGATGGGCTTTGTGGTTGTTTCCTGCAAGCTCCAAGACAGGCTTTTTTGGGGGCAAAATTCTCTCCGTTCGTTACATTGTTTTTTTTTTTCAAGAGCGACTCAGATTTGATGCTTTGAGGGTGTTGGGGGAGAGGGTGGAGGAAGAGCCAAATTTTGGCCATTTTGGTTCAGAGAAGGATGGGCTTTATGGTTGTTTCCTGCAAGCTCCAAGACAGGCTGTTTTGGGGTGAAATTCTGAGTTTAAGAAAGCCAGAAAAATGTAGCTCATTTAAAAAAACCAACAACCCCCTCCCCACCCTTTGCTGTTTAGAAAAAATATGATGAAATGGATCCCTGTGGTTGTTCACCCAAACTGACAGTTCAAGAAATGACAATATTCCCGAGGATTTCGGGATTTTCAACTTTTTTTGGGGGGGTTGGGGAGGGGAAAAACCAACTGGGTGAATATTCCTGCTTCGGGGAGGGGCAATATAGGAAAAACACAAGAATTGTTGTTCTTGTTCCATCACTTTTCTGTCCATTGTCTTCTTTTCTACAAGAGACAGATTTTTTTTTTTTCCTAGGAGGGATCAAGACTATTTTTTATTTTTTATTTTTTAACTTGTTAAAGTTTTATTTTATTAAATTTTGTGCCAGTATTTGGTTGTTTTTTTTATTTTTTTTTAAATAGTCTTAAGCTCTAAGATGGTCTCAGTATTGCAATATTGTGTGTGTTTGTTTCTGTTATGCCAGCAGAGAATTTTATCACAGTGAGGAAAAGGAGAAAAAAAAATAGAATTTAGTTTATGTAGACCCCACTGGAGAATTGGAACGTTGCAACTTGGATGTGAAGGAAAATTAACTCCAAACTGGCTCCTGGTGATGCTGGCTGGGTGTGCCACCCTCATTTCCAGTCCCACACTCTGTGCTGATAAAGCTGGTTGAAATATCTCCTTTTGTGGTTGGTTTTTTTTTTTTTTTTTTTTTCCTGGCTGCACAAAGCCTCTCAAGATTTCTATGGAAAATGTCTTTTTTTTGTGTTTTCCAAATAATTTCTTTGCTCAAGGATCACTTTGGTGCTTACAGAAAATTAGGCTTGTTTGGTTTTTTATTCCAACAGGGAGAAATTCCCGTGTTTTCCAGGTGACAGATGGAAAACACAGCAGTGAACTGAGGGGAAAAATCAGGAAAAAGTTAAAAACCCAAAGGGAAATGTTTTTTCTTTCCTTTTGTGACCAGCTCTGTCTTTAGTGCTGTGTGTGTTGACCTGCCTGGGCACAGGAGGGGGAAAATTATCCCTGCAAATAGGCTTTTTATGGCTTTTTGGAGCCCAACCCTAGCAAGTGTGAGGGACAGGAGGCAAACCTGGGGCAAACACGAGGTCTTGTGCTCAGGGGAGATGGTTTTGGGATCAATCCCGGTGGGAGCTGCTCGTGGGATCAATCCTAGTGGGAGCTGCTCCCTCTGCCCTCCAAACCTTTGCTGCAGCTGGTTTTTGTTTGGAGGGGTCAATCCTGCTGTGCCAAGCACTTCTGGGATGCTCTGGGATGCCTTAGAGGATCAGTGAGTGTTCCCATATCCAAGTCCAACCTCAAAGCTGGATCCATGAGGATCTGGCTGCCCACTGGAGTCTTTCCCCCCCCAGGCCTTTGCATTCCAAGCCAGTGTTACGTGTTTGAACCAAAAGTACCTTCTTTTCATGTTGTTTTGTCAGTCTGTGTGTTTTAGGGCATGGAGGTCATTCCAGGGGCACTGTGGGACACCAGTGGGGTCAGAGGCTTTCCAGGGATGGGGGTGGGCAATGCCTGCCTGGTCCCAAAGGATCAGCTTGGAAGGACAGGACACTGAGTGTAAAGAGCCAAAATATTCAGGCACTTCCCCCCTGAGCAGGGGCAGGGCTGGAGGGGGAGCCCAATCCCAAGGTGATGCTCAGAGGTCCTGGACCCTCATCCATTTCCTCTGGAGCACCTTGGGATCCTAAAATTGGTCATTTTAGGGCAGGTCAGCCCCAAAATTGCTGCTGCTTGAAAAGAAAATGCTGGTGGAGGGGATGGGAGTGGCCAAGAGGGAGCTCCAGCCCAGGGGGGGTTGGGCAGGGAGGTTGTTACACCGTTGGCTCATGGCTGGGGGTTGTCCCCCTGAGCCCACGGGAGGAAAAGGTGGGATGGATGGAAAGGAGGGAAGAGGGGATGGCTGGAGGGTGAAGGGAACACGCCCCAAAGGAGGAAAGGGATGCTGCCCACTGGGAAGTCAAGCCCTGGCTCATCTTTTGGGCACACAGGGAGGGTGGGGAAAGCAGAGGAGAGGAAAATTGGGATGTCGTGGCTGAGTCCCCTCCATCAGTGAGGCACCAGGGCAGAGCTCCACTGTGTCCTCTGAGCAGCTGGAAAGGGACATGGGAGATGGGAGCACACAGAGGGCACAGGGGAGCAGCTGGTACAGGGCATCCCAGCAGGACACTCCGTGTGGGTTGGATTTCCAGCAGTTGGAGGGGTTTGGGGGATGTTCAGGGTCCTGTCTTGCTGCAAATCCCCAGCATGGGTCACTTAGAACCCCCTTACACCCACAGAAGGGTGCCGGGCACTCCAGCTCCTGCCCTGGCACCGTGCCCTGTCCCAGGACATCCCTCCTGCTTTGCTGGGTTGCTCCACTGCAGCTGAAGTGCCTTTTGCAAGCAAAAAACTGGGATAAAATTTCCCTCCAGTAGAAGGAAGTGCAGGTTCAGGTACAACCCCATTGTCCTGCCAGTCTAAATCCCACTTCCACCCCTCCATGCTTATTATTCCAGGTTTCCAAGCTGTGTTCCCAGTGACTTTGGGGAGTTGGTTTAGAGGTTGGAAAGGGTGAGCCATGGGAGCAGCTCTGGTTTTCGGAAGCAGCCCCTGGCTGGAGTTTCTCCATCGTTTCTCCAAGCCATCCCATGCCAGGGACACCAGGGCCATCATTTTCTCTTTTCCTTTCCTTTTCATTCCCCCTCCAGGGACCATCCCCGAGATGTTTGCTGTTTATACACTGGAAATTTGCAGATTTGTCTTTGTTTCTTTTGATTTTGTTCCTTTTTCCTTCTCCTCCTGCCTTCCCTGCTGGCCTTTGGTGAGGGCTGTGCTGGACCAGCCTTGCTCAGCCCAGACCCTCTGACCTCCTGGCCTCCAGCTCCGTGGAAATTTGGGATCCCACCTGTGCTGGGATATCCAGAAGGCTGGATTGGAGGGGGATGATGAGCTGGGACTCACCCCTGGGCTGGTTTCTCTGTGTGGGGGTGAATTCCACCCCCATGGCCATTGGAAATCGGGTGGGTTTGCCTTGTTTTGGGATGTCTCAGGTGCTTTGGGGTTTTTTTGGGAATATTTTCTGTGTCCTGCTCATTTTCTACTCTTCTCCATGTGGTTGATGTCCCTTGGTCCCTCTGGCAGAGCCTGAGCCCTTCTTTACAAACAGCTCTCGGGGGCCTCAATAGTCGATATTTGGGACCAAAAAAGAGGGGAAAAAAACCCAATAATGATAAAAAACACAAGCACTTTTCTGCTGCCCATCTCTCTCCATCCCCATGTATGGGACCACCATAATCCTTGGACATTCCTGTGTGTCCAGGTGTAAATCCATGTTATTCCCACACATCCTCATCCAGTCGTGATCGTTCAGGTGGAGAAAGAACCAAAAAAGAAAAGACAAAATGAGATTTAACCTCCTCACGTTTTCCAAACCAACTCCTCCTCCAAAAAAAGGGTCCCAGAAATCCCCAGGAAATCCAGGAATCACCTCCATCTTATGCTTTTTGCTCTTTTTGGAGGGGCTTTCTCCCAGATTTTAGGGCTTGATTGCTTATTCCATTGGAAAATTGGGATGCCTTGGCGTGCTCTGCTCTCTGGTAGGGTCTATATGATACCCCTGAGCTGTTGTCTACATTCCAAAGAGGTTTAAATAAATGATAAATCTATGTATACATATATGTTATAATGGAATATCTCCAGGAATTAACTGCCTCAGTAAAAAAAAAAAAAAAAAAGAAAAAAAAAAGGAAAAAAAGGAAAAAAAAGTCTTTTTTTTGGTTTTATTTTGTTTTTACGCATTTTTTTTAAGCTGATAAACAGAGAAGAAGAAGAAGAAGAAAAAAAAAGAGATTGTTATATTGTGCTGTTCGACTATTTTCCAACTTGTATTTTCATATAATTTATATTTTTTAAAAGTGGGGCGGGGAAAAAAAAAAGAAGTTTAAAAGTGAGATTTAACAAAAAAAAAAAAAAAAAAAAAAAGGAAAAAGCAGGTGCTTTTTAAAAAAAAACCCCTGAGCTGAGGTAGCTTAGAGATGTAGCGACGTGTGTGTGTGTGTCTGTGTGGTGTGGTTTGGTCTGTTTTGGTCTTTTGTTTTTAAAGGATACAAAATGAAAAAGAAATCCCTCCTGCATTGAACTGTTAAGGAAGGGGGGATTGGTTCTGTTTGAATTGCTGATGCTGGCACATCATTTTGCTGGAGAGTTTTTTATATACTGTAGCCTTATTTCATATCGTATTTTAAACCATGTGAAATTAAAAGAAGAATAATTCCTAATTCCCGGTGTCCGTGTGATCATTCCAGGCTTTTCCTCTGGGAATTCGGGGGGCAGAAAGGGGAAAACCAATGGGAAAATGGAGAAATGCCAACAATTATGTATTTATAAAAATCCTATATTTTATAATATAGAATTATTATATTATTTATATAATACATATAATATATTATTGTGTTATTTGTAATATTTATAACAATATTTAGATTCTTATATTACAATTATATAATCTATAATAGTATATAATTTATAATATTTATAAAATATTTATATATTACAATTAATTATATATTAATATACAATAGTACAATATTTCTAAGATATTACATATTTAAAATATTTATATATAATATATATAATATTATATATTTTTAATATTTACAGCAACACTTATAGTATTATAAATCATTCTTTATAATAATATCTATTACATTCGATATAATATTATAAAATTGCTTATATATAAAATTGTATATTTCATATTCTTTTTAATATTTATAACAATATTTATATAATTTTACATAATGATTTCTATTAATATACAATATAATATTATTCATTATTATATTTATTAAAATATATTTATTATATTTTTTATATTATATTTATTAAAATTGTTTATAGATAAAATGATATATTTTACATTATATTATTTCTAATATTTATAGCAATATTTATATTATTATAAATCCTTTATAATAATATATAACATTACATTAGTTATTATATTCTAAAATTACTTATTGATAAAATGATATATTTCATATTATTTCTAATATGACAATATTTACAGAATTATACATAATGATGTCTATTAATATATATCACATTATTTATAATATATTATTTATTAAAATTATTTTAATATCTATAATTATATATGTTATAATATTATATTATTTTTAATATTTATAACAATACCTCTATGATTATAAATCATTATAATGCTATATAAGACTACATTATTTATAAAACTATTTTATATAAAATTACATATTTTATACTATTATATGACTTATAATACTATAGTAATATTTATATTTTTATAACTAATTATTTATAATAATATAAAATATTAAATTATATTATTTATAAAAATCATATAAATATCAATTATATGGTTTATAATATACATTATAATATATTAAAATATATTATATTTATAAATATATAATATATATATTTTATAATAGATTATGTATAAAATTTTCTCCATATAAAATTCTATCTTTTATAATATTATCTGTTATAAAAATTCTCTACTTTCCCCATTCTTGATGATGCAGCTCCTGGAAGATCTTCCACATCAGCTCCCTCTTTCTTTGGGGTTGTGGCTCCACGTTGCTGTTCCAGGGGCAATTCCAGCCTTTCCAGGTGGTCTTTCATCCCAAACCCTCCCTGGCACTTTGGGATGTCTGTGGTTCCCTCCCCAAAAGGCTTTTAGAGGAGCATTTCCCTCGGCAGGATCTCGGGAATCAGGAGCAGCCACTCCCCAAGCCTGGGGGCCACTGCTGTGGCCACCAGTGTGTTCTCATGGCCACCAGTGGGTCCTCGTGGCCACCAGTGTGTTCTCATGGCCACCAGTGGGTCCTCGTGGCCACCAGTGGGTCCTCGTGGCCACCAGTGTGTCCTCGTGGCAGCAGAAGATGCCGCTGGAATTCCCTTTTCCTCCTGGCCACCACGGGCTGGGCTTCATCAGCAGGAGAAATCCACCTCTGGGCTCTTCAGTCACACCCTGTGCCTCAGAACTTGGGAAACCCCGTGTGTTTGGGGACATCCCGGAATGTCCTGGCATGGAAGGACCCAAAAGGACCATCCCGGCCCTGCCCAAGAGTTGGGATGTTTTTTCCAGGGAGTTTTGTGCTGGCTCTGGTGTCTCCTCACCCTCATCCATCCAGGAGGAGCTCTGGGTTGTGCCTGACTGGACGGGGATTAATTGGAGCTCGTTTGTAGGTCTGGGAGTGCTGATTTATGAGGATCTCGGAGAGGTTCAAGGTCCAGGAGCTGCCACTGATCCAAAGGGCTGGAGAGTTTGTGTGATGGGACATTCCCAGAGGACAACATCCCTGAGGATTGGGGGTTTGAATCAGCATGGGGTGGAGCAGATACAGCGCCCAGGAATGTGACACTTGGATTTCTTGGACACCAAGAAGGTTGGACGAGTCATCAGGGTGATGAGGATGCAACGGATGAATCCAGGACAAGGAATGTTTAAACCAACTCACTGGTGGGGACTCCACTTGCGGCCAGGTAGGAAGAGAGATGGCCCGAGACACCGAAGGATGAGGGTGGAGAACCAGGATGGTCCCCATGGGGTGCTCCTGGGATGGCTGTGGGACACTCCCGTGTCCTGGAAGCTCAGCTAATCCCTGGATATGAGAGGCTGGGAGAGACCCCAAAGATGGGAGAACCCTGGGACAGCGAGTGCCCACCCTGGGACTGTGAGTGCCCGTCCTGCTCCATCCTCTTCTCCAGCTGGACACACCAAGTGCCCTTCAAACCCTTGGCTCTCTGCAGACCACCAACGTGCCACCCCAGCCCACCAGCACTCCAAACCCAAATCCAAAGGATCCCAGGGAGCTGGGTGTGCACTGGGAGGGCCAGAGGGAAGAGCAAACCCTGGCCCAGGAAGGGGTTTCTTTTGGAGGGGACGATCATTCCCTCAGGGATTGAGTGCTGCAAGGAAAATTAAACAGAAAAATCCCTACATTGGGGTTTTTCTTTGGGATTTTTCTGTTTTCCTCCCTCCCCATCCTGGTTGCTCCTGCAGAAATCCCAGTTCTGGCATCGCTGTCCTAGTTTGCCACTCAAGGGGGTGAACTCTTGGCTAAATGAGCCCAAGAAAGCAGGCAGAGGGATTTGGTAGCAGGAAAGGGCTCTGCTGCCAGTCTGAAGGGGCAGGAGGGGCTGGCAGGGATCCCATAGGAAGGTTTGGGCAGCAGGATCTGGGATTTGTGGAGCTCTTCGGAAATTTGGCCCCTTTCCCCCTCTTTGCCTCAGTTTCCCCAAGTGCAAACCCGTATCCCAAACCTTACAAAGACCACACAAACACTGGGATCCTTGTCTGGGAGCGGGGTGGGATGGCTGCTCCTGCCAGCACCACCACCACTGGGTTCTTTCATGGAATCCTTTTTCCAATTCCTTGTATCCTCAGCCAGGATAAACCCAGACTGCAGGATAAACCCAAGCCCGCATTGCTGCAGCCTCTACCTCAAATATCTCCCAGGAGAGTGGGATGGGGGACACCGGGAGATGTTTGGGGTGTCCCTGTGACCCAAACCCCGGGGCTGGGATGCTCCACGTGGGGCTGGAGAGCTCAGGGTCCCGTGGGCAGCTCTGCCCACACAGCTCGGGGCATTCACTCCCCCTGAGCAGCCTCTGCAAGTGGTTCTGTTTTCCCAAATCCACCCAAAATGCTTTCCTGGGGAGATGAAGCGGCAACACAGAGGATTCAACGTTAACCTGGGTCATTTTGGACCTTAATGATGTGCAAACTGCTGGTGCCAAATGCTGAGCATCCCTTCCTGCAGCCGGGCCCCCCGGGCTCCAGGGGGCTCAGGGACACTGGGAATGGGGCTGGGGGAGGGGGTGGCACCTCGGGGATGGAGGTGCCCCAAACCCTGGGGGAAGGGGGCTCTTTCGGGCCTGCACTGAAGGCACTTTGCAGCCCTCGGGGTGAACATCACAAGCATCTGTTTCCAACCCCCTGCCAGCTCGTGCTCCTCTCCCCCAAAATCCCTCAAACTCCCTCCAAAACCCCCCAACCCCCCCCCCCCCGACCCCCTCTCCTCTGCACCCCCCAGGCTGGCCAGGTGGAAAGCCTTTGCTGGAGCAGAGCTGCCCATAAATCTCCAGGCTCTGCCTCACCAGGCTCATTTTAATTTGTAATCCCCACCCCCCCCAAAAAAAAAAATAGCAGATGGGGGAAATGCCGCTCTCAGCACGAAGCTGGCACAGCCCTGGCTTGGCTTCTCCCTCCCCCCTGAGAACCAGCCCTGGCACGGGGGGAGATGGGTGTTTATTTTTCCCTTTCCCCTTTCTGGGATGGTGCTGTGGCTCCTGTGAGGTCCCACTCGGTGCCTTTCATGGCAGATCCAATCCCTGAGGATAAAAATAGGAGGTGAGGGCTCTGTGCCAGCCAGGGAAAGAGGAGAAAGAGGGGCTGAAGTGCCAAATAAATAAATAAGTGGCTCTCACTGCACTTGTGGATCCAAGGAATTTCTGGCTGCCTCGGCATTAACAGAGGGAAAGGGCTCAAATTCTGGGATTTTGGGTGACACAGTAATGAATTTATGCCCTCAAGTGTAAATCAAAAGCCTCCAGCCCTGTTTCCCAGTGGAATTTGGAAATCTCTGTCCCTCCTGACCTATTTAAAGGCAGTGCCAAATTCTTGGCTGGGATGTGCCAGAGGGTTCAGATCCCACAGTGTGCAGTGGGTTGTGGTTTCTCTGGGGTGGCAGCAGCTCCTGTGGGGAGTTCAGTCCCCCAGCACCTTCCCAAGCTCCCCTGGGCCATCCAGCACCCTTGGGTGCCCTTTCCAAGGGCAGAGATGAGCTGTAGGAGGTTCTGTTTGGTGCCAGGTTTTGGGAAGATCTGTCACAGAATCCCAGACTGGTTTGGGTAGGAAGGGACCTCAAAGCTCATCTCATTGCACCCCCTGCCATGGGGTGAAGAGGTTGGACCACCTCAGCTGAGCTCAGGTGAGCACAGAGCTGCTGCTCCCGGGCTCAGGAGGGATGGGCAGGTGGGGATGGACACTTGGAGTGGCTGTTTGCCAATCCAGGACTGGCACCTTCTCAAAAATATCCCATAACCTTCACCAACACCATCATTTCACTCCCTGCTGCCCTTCCCACCAGGCTGGGGACAAAGGGCAGCAGGAGGTGACACAGTGTCCAACCCCACGGGGTGTTCCAGGTGCCTTTGTGCTTCCCGTGTCACAGAGCCATGGAATCATGGAATGGGTTGGGCTGGAAGGGACCCTAAAGCCCATCTCATTCCT